TCAAAATCCTTATTATCCGTCGTAAGAGGTCACCGATCCTTTTGCTTGAAAACTACTTCAAAATTACCACAGATGTTTGCACCTTATTTCCTACAGCAAAAACTATTATCTGTCCCAGTCGGTATCAGGAAGCCACCAGCCTCCCAAGATGAATGGACTTTCTCCTTACAGAAAAGGCAGATACAGAAAAAATGAACAGGATGACAAAATGAGGAATCCTTCCAGCTGAGAGGGCAATGCCTGAGATACAGAAAGGGAGTTAGTTTTTTCAGCTTTGTTACTCAATTGCTGTGAACTTACTGCAGTCCTTTTCTGGTTTCTAAGGCTGCTGGATGCTGTCCCAGGAAACAGGAAAAACGAACAGACTTGGCTCATTTGCTGAAAGAAGAACTTTTGTTTTCATATGCACGTTATGGCATTAAAGTGCTGCTTTCTACATCTATCGGTCATCATAGCTTTGTTTCATTTTATGATTCTTGTTGCTTCCAAGATGAACCTCCACTTCTGTGGCACAGGTCAGGGCATCAGACTCAAAATGTTCTCCATCCTATAAACTGTAATTTGTCGCCAGGCAAAGATAAGATGGGCAGAGGTAAACAGGAGGGTTAGAATAGTGACAAAGCCTAATCTAAAGGAGTAACCTGTGCAGGGTGGGAGAGAGGAGGGCAAATGCTTGGAAAAGTAAACTGATATCCACCCAGGTGACTTGCATTGAAAAATATCTACTTAATTACATGTTTCTGCGACCGTCATTACATCTTGGCTACAGACAGGGGTGAAGAACCCAGGAAAAGCCCAGACCACACCCTGCCTCGCCACTCACAGTCACCCACCTTGGAGAGAGACATAAATCACATGTCTCTGTGGCTGTGTTTTCAGAAAACCCAATGCTTTTCTTAACAACTCATTATGCAAGGCAGTTCCTACTGCCAGCATCTCACAATGCAAGAAAGGAGGGAATTGATTGCATAGGAGGGTGGAGACAAATGTACTCTCTTAAGTGAGTCAGCTTGGAAAAACTAACTCAATACAACCTAAAGAGAGAAAGTGATAAACAGCAACAATACCTTACATAAAAAGTCCTCTCTGAGAGACCAGAGCAGGGCCCACCAGAGGCTGCTGCTGCTGAAGGATGCAGAGGGCAACCACTCTCACTCCAGGCCTTTGCTCCTTCCCTGAGCATTTTCTGGAAGCATCCAGAGCTTTCGGAGGGCAGCCCTGGCTGCTGCCTGGCTGCAATCCCTTGTGTAAACCTGGCAGCAAGGCTCCTGAGTGATAAGGCAAATTATTACTTTGGATGGGGACTGAATGTACTGCCGTGACAGACTTCAAAAACAAAAAAACCCCAAACCTAAACAAAAATAGTCAGCTAAGCAAACAACACTGGGCCCCCTGCTTGAGTTATTCTGGCAGCAACAGGCACCCAAGTCCTTATCACACGCCAGAGGATAATGGTAAGTTTTGGCTTGCCTTGGTTTTAAACCACAGCTTCTAAAAGGAAAGCCAACAAATAGGGAAAGTGTTTATAGTAAGCACAAACTTAGTGCACAAATACGAGTGTTTTCATACCTCAGCAATTAACAGCGAGAACATGCCCTGAGTGTCATCAAGAAGAGGGTGCAGCAGGGTACATTAACCCACCCCTTACTCTAGGGAGACAGGCTCCCACAGCATGTGGCCCCTTTATTTGCAGGACATAGGCCAGATATGAGGATCTTTGTGAACAAAAGGTTGACATAAACAAACCTTCTCTTTGAGAGCACGCACATGTTAGAAAGCCAGCACGGGGTATCTGTGCTGGCAAACCTCACTGCAGCTGTGACTGCATCCACAAACAGGAATTTATGATCTCTGGCACAGAAAGACATGGCTGGAAAGCACTGGAGAAGGCAGCTCGCTTACCAAACGCCTGTTGTAGTTGCTCTGAGCTTTGGCTCTTGGAAATGGCACAACGTTTTTCACAAAGTTTGTTTGCCACACATGCACCCATTCTCCAGCACCTGAGCACTACGAGCAGGAAGGAGTACTCGATTGCACTTCTTTGATTGGTATTTCCACCTGGGGAACATGGACAGAGCCCAACAGCACTGCAAACAGCAGAGTGCCCCCCGCCAAGGGATCCTCCTTCAAAAATGTACCAGGGCTGCAAAGAGATGCAGCTCCAGCAAGTGCTAAACAGCCATATACAGCAAAGCCCATTTCAGCACCCTTTCCCAGGCAAAAGATCCAGGATGGTGACAAGCAAAGTCTGCGAACACCTCTGAGCCAGCATCAGGAAAGACATTTCAGCTCACCGTCAGCAATCCCCTGCCTCACATTTTGGCTGCAGGAGGCATTTTCCTTCCTGCCTGAAGGCTATCCCCTTTTCTTTGCTTGTATATGAAGTTTAGTATGAAAGGCTAAGAGCATTGCTTGCAAGACACCCTCCTACCTTTGTATCCACTTAAATCTTAATATATCCTACCTCTGAAGTAAAATCCATTTGAATCTGTTCTTTCAAGCATTTAAGTTTTAGCACCTCTAGGCACGTCCAAAATCACTCCAGTTCCTACTGCAGTTACTCCCTGCCTGAACCA